TTGATGCTGCTGTTGGCCCCATTGCTGCGATTGCGACTGGGGGCTGAAGGCTTGACCCTGAGGTTGCTGGTACGATTGGGTCTGGTTCTGCTGTCCGTAATGGCTCTGGTAGTTATGGTAGCTCTGGAGATGCTGGGGTGGGCCTCCTGGAGGCTTGTTTCCTAGCTTTGAGCTTATAGTCTTGCCCAGCTTGTTCAGCATTGGCTTGCCCGTTGTGACCGCCTGCTCTAGCCGCTGATTCATCATCTGGCCGAATCCGGCAACTCCTTTCTGAGATTGATTTGGTCCTCCATAAGTCGTTGCATTGGGCTGATAGCTTGGTGGCTGCTGGGCGCCTTGCTGCTGTGCTGGAGTGCCCTGACCCGGAGGGACATAGGGCCCTGGCGAAGGCATTGGGTTGTATTGCACCATTGTGGCTACAGAGTGAGTTCGGTGAGCCCTCGAGCGTAAGCAGAGTGCTTCTCCTGTAGACAAGAGACGTCCCGATGCTGCGCCCAAGGCTGGCCACGGCAGATGAGCATCAGCCGCACCGTACCGTATACGACGCTTGGCGGTGACCCGTCGAGCCTAGGGTTAGCGAGATCATTGTCATTAGTATGGCGATCAAAAGATATGGACGGTATTACGAAAGCATGAAGCAGTGCCTTGATCAAAGTCACGATAGTCGATAGTGGCATGTTTGGTGTTGCCCAGAGACGTGGATTGGTTTTGCGGAAGTGACGGCATGCTTGAACCCTGGAAGCTGCAGCTGTCCAAGCGGAGCAGCGTGCGGACCGAGATGGTCTCCATGTTCAGAACCCCACCCAAGCATCGTGATTAAGTTGTAGCATTATTAAATATCTTCCATTCCTACAACACTGCCGCATCAATGGATAGCAGAATCTATGCGACTCATGCCTCCCACTTCTACCAAAATCTTGACATGGTTCTCCTTGTCGTTGATCAAGGTTTTAATCCCGTCTTCTACTAGATCCTCTAGACTAATCTTGCGCGTGATCATATTCATAGGCTTCAAGGTACCTACAAAACACACATGTCAGCGACTGGGCGCACCAGGTTTTTCTCAGGATACAGCTTACCAGCAGCGAGATGTTCGATAACCGCCTCAAGGTCCTTTCTTTGATAGCCCAAGACGGCTGTGTACTGCGCCTCTCGGAACACAAGCATGTTGGGGTTGAACGGCACCTCTTTCTCCCAGATCGCGACATTCACGACCGTGCCCCGAGCCCTTACTGCTGTGCAAGCGGTCGTGAGACTTGCTGGTACCCCGGCGCAATCGAAAACCACATCCGGCCCATCCCTACCACTAAGAGCCTTGCTCATCTTGACAACATCGTATGTCTTAGGGCAAAGAACGTGATGAGCACCGAACTCTCTCGCGAAGCGCTGCCGTGCGCCGGATACCTCGCTCATGATGATCTTCTTTGTGCCTAGTGCCACCAAACATTGGACAATTGCGAGCCCAATTGGTCCACCACCTAGAATCATGACGACGGAATCTGGTGTCAGTGGAGCAGCGGAGACAGCATGCCATGCGACACCAAGAGGTTCTACCAGCGCGCCGACATCAAGCGGTACGTTACTGGGCAAGTTTAGTACCGCACCCTCAGGCACAACAACGGAGTCGCTCAAGCCGCCACCTCCTCCCGAAAGCCCGATGAAGCCGCCATTCTCGCATACATTCTCGGAGCCAGCTGTGCATGCATTGCACTTCCCACAATATATCGTCGGCTGGACAACAACGTTTTGGCCCACGGTAAAGCCCGAATCATCCGATCCCACTTCCGTAACAGTCCCCGAGAACTCATGTCCCAAGGTGATGGGAATGGTTTCATTCGTACACGGGTGCGGTGTCGTCGGTGCAAAGTTAGGTCCGCCGAGGTATTCATGGAGATCGGTACCGCAGATACCTACGAAGGCCGGGGCGACCTACTCATCATCAGCTATCGTATGGGCCAACCCCTAGAAACTCAAACCACATACCCTGACTTGTCCCGCACCACACTTTTGCTCCTCCACATCTTCAATCCGGATATCTTCTTTCCCGTAGTATCGTGCTGCGCGCATGCTGTAAGTCTTGGTTCTGTCTGTGTCCCCCCAGTTCGGTAAGCCCATAACTCAGCAGAAGCGTTGCACTCCTCACGAGCAACGACCGTGTTTATGAATGCGCTTTCAATGGCAGACATGACCTCCGCTTTCTACTAGTGACCTCGGTCCCGCTTCTCGGAAGCTTTGCGGACAGCCCCGAGGCCGATTGTACATGTGATGCAGAGGTACCCACAGTAACCAGCTGTGCCGCTTGCTATGTACATATCCACAAGCTCTGGATCTACTTGCCCAGTCCCAATCTGCAGGCGTCATGTGGCGTAGCGGCTCGCACAGGAGGGTCGCGTCCGCTTGGGCGGTCGGATGCGGGGGCTTGGGTGGTCGCGATATCAGGAGATGTCTCCGTAATTCCCGTATGCCCGGTTCCTAGTGGCTCCGTGTGAGTGAGTTTGGTGGAGTTGGCGGGTGGAGAATGAGGCGAGGCTAGGTCTGCGGGGGCGGGGAAATTGTGGGTTGCTGAGTTGGGCAACCCGGATGCTGGGCTCTTTTTTGCGCTCCTACGATTCAGTCGCTTGAGTGTTCGTCTTCGTCTCATGGAATGAAAACTTTAGTCTCTTTTTCTTATCAACTGTGGACAGCTTCGTGGAGCCTACAGGCCCTAATATAGGTTTGTAGACGAGATCCCATGTTCTCTAAGCTACTCTTAGCAACTAGGTGCCCCAGATAGGTGTATTCTTCCCAAATTCATTAGCCTGTTGATGGTATGCGTCGCGAAAGCTTAAAGACATACTCTGGTCGCAAAACGTTTGTAGACTAGATGACTTGAGCCTCTTTGTAGCACACCGCCTTAGTATGGCATGGAGCTGTGCGGGGTTTACTTACTACGATAAGCGCAATGCCATCGTCTTGCTTTGGCGCATATATATTACATTGTGTTAACACACTTCATCCTCTTATCGTCAAGGGTCGCTTTTGTTGCTAGCCTTGTGTCTCTTCGAGCTGGAGATGCAGTGCAGTGATTGCTAACGTCTATCCTATATACTCTAGGCTTAGCGCGACCACCCCTGACAGTTATGTTTGAGTGTTGCCTAAGGCACCTGGACAGAGCGAAGCCACGAGATATCAATTGTGTCAGCCTTGTTCTGCCTCAAAGCCACGAGCTAGGCTGCAATAGTCAAAGTCTCCAAACGATAAAGGCTGCAGAGTCCTTGGCAGGAACGTGGTTGCCTATGGTTCCACACTTCATGGACTGACCCACAACGACTGCGCCTCTTTTCTGAGGCTGAAAAAGGGCGCTCACATTCCATATATCCAGCCGAAATCTTCACCTGGTAGATTCTATAGCATACGGGGGGTAGGATGACGGTATTTCAGTCGACCAGAGATGCGGTATCGTACACGTGGAACAACAACAACACCCTTCGCTTCTGTTGCAAGCTCATAACCTGCCCTCTCTTTGGCGATTGCTACTATATGCGCAAGCGAACCCGCAGCCCATCGGAAAAACAACTAAGAAGATATACAGTCCTGGCTGATGTAGAGCACCGTAGGCGTGTCAGGCGAGTGGCAAGGAAGCGCATTCCATTGGTCGATGGAGAGAGATGGTGGAACAGCAAGGCAAAGGGCCAGTCGCAAAGTCCTCTCTTCGCTAAACTACCCTTGGAGTTGCGGTTGCAGATATATGAGATGGTGCTGTGTGATCAAAAAGAGTTGACCATGAGGTTCAACGAGGATCAACCGTGGGATCGTTGGAAAGTCAGAGCAGAGCAAGGCCGCGACGCTAGAATGTTGAGAACTTGCAAGAAGATGTTTGTCGCCGCTCTTCCGTCTTCAATACTTTGAAACATGTCGCTAACAGCGTTACTAGCTATCGCGAGGCCGCCTCGGTGCTGTACTCAAAGAATACCTTCAAATTTGACTCCTACAAGCTGCTATCCACCTTTGTATCAACGATACCTCCGCAGCATCTTGTCTCTATCCGAATAGCCATTCTCGTCATCACTCTGTTCTGGGATGGTTGTGATGATTTTATCGCGTGGTACAGAGATCTGCTGCCACTACTTAGTGGAATGCAAGGCCTCAAGGAGGTATGCTTGAGGTACCGTTTACGGGAGAATAACTACGTGGTCCATCCTCGCTCAGGCGACTTCGAGCTTCTAACATGGCTCGAAGAAGGAAGGATACCAAGGGAATATGCAATCTTTTACGAGATGCTCGAGGTTCAGACAGGACCAAAATTTGGTGGTATGCTATTCAATCGGTGGGTCATCGGTGAGCGGAGGAGGATCAGTATGAAAGAGTGAAGGCTAGTATTGCATAGTTATTTATACAATGATGATCTTTTGCTTACCTCCGGGCTTCAGGTTCAATGTGTTGAGCACATGGCCATAGGTCCTATCTGCTGTCTGTCCGATACCGACCCGTTGGTGACAGGCATCTGCGCAACTCGATTCTATAACGAGCAGGAAATATGTTATGGGAACATGGCTAAGACTGAGTTCCAGTCTTTGCGATACGACGACAGCCTTACATTGGATGATGTTGCTTTCTGGGATTCGATCCGAGTAACCTGTGCCGATGCAGATACCTCGCTCATCGAATATATCAATCACCATGCGAAGATATGGGTCGCTGTATGGCGCATCTCCGTTTGAGCTCGATCGGCAGGTGACGTTGATACACAAAGCATTCATCATCAGAATGTCGTCGTAGGTGTGTGCACTGTGGAGACTTGCTTGCAGAGGATCGGACTGACATTCAAGAATTTGTGCCGCAAGATCGCTAGGCATGTTGCTCGACCCGAGACTAAAGAGCATACTTACTGGGCCGTCCAGAGATGCCTACAACCAAGAAGGCGCATCGGATGTAGCCGTAGGCTTCCGCGTGGGCATGAATGATCCTTCAGCGTGCCACAGAAGCCCGGAATGAGCGTCTTCGATCCATAAACCAGACTTTTACGTAAAGCTTGTGATGTCGCGGAATATCTCCGCAATCCCAGCGATTGCGAGGAAGACATCGCTTCTGTAGGTAAGACTCAAACCAGAATATTGACACAAGATGCGATACCACTGCACCATGAAGAGTTCGTTCTGGACGGTGCGTCTGCTAAGCTCGCCTAAGAAGTTCTTGTTGGAGAAACTTAGGCAGCGCTTAAACGTCTCTTTAGTCCAGCCGCCCTCATCACACGCTTCTGGCTCATCTTCCACACTTCCCTCTCTACTTGAGCTCTCAAGACATTCCCAGAATATCTCGTTCTTTTCGAAATGCACTATTCTCTTCGACAGTGACCGTTCCTGTAATACCCATGCTCGCTTGCTTAGCGGAGATTCTCGTAGTACCTGGTTCCATGATGGTCGCGCTCGGCGGAGATGAAGGTTTTGACCCAGACTGGTTGTTGGGGATGACTCTCGAGGATTGAGGAGGCCGACGTATGAGTCGTGTGCGCTTAATATAGACAATGTGATATACGCGTTCCGATAGTAGCTTCCCATGTTGCTAACGTCCAGGCTGCGGCTCTCTGCATCATCCTGCACAATGCAAAGCGCGTCTACCCACAGCAGCGAGATACCTAGCCGCCTGGTCGCGTAGATGGCATCTCGAAAATTGGATGAAAGGTAATGCAAGTCCAAGCCTGTCTTGAAACTCTCTACTGTTGCCCTTAAAGTCGTCGCAAGAGTGCCGGCAGCACCCCAACAATGGCTCAGTGCGGCATAGCGTGTGTCTCCTTCACAAGTCGACCCATACACCAATCTTAGCGTATCCACGTTCAGCAGTATGTTTGGCATCGGAGGCGCATGGTCTTGACGACAACATGTGTGATTAGAAGTACATTTGTCGAGCCATGTATGTATCATGTTCCAACATGACTCGGAGTCAGGTTGCGCATGTATCCTTCTGAAGGGCGTCTCGGTGCTTGGGTGGTTACCTGTCGTACGTAAGTATCGGACACGCAGTATCGTGCCCTATATGCTTACGTTCGGTGAATATCTCGAATTGATGCACGGTGTTGTTGAAGTCGACTACACCTAAACATGATCCATGTCGAGTTACTTCAAGATGAACATCCTTTGTGGGCCGCCCGAAAGAATGGACAACGAGCTCTTCGTAGAGATATCTGCAGAGAACGCAGCCCCGAACAGCTGCGATCTTCAAAGGTCTCGCATAGTATCTTTGAGTCGTATCGTGATTCGCGACCAAGCGACAGGTGGCACATAAGCTGCTGGGGTTCCAAGGAACAAGCGGGATGGGCGTAATTACAGTCATGCTTTCGTCGGGTAAGGAGGGAATGCCACGAGTTCAATAGCAGTCGACTTGGAGTAGTTGTATAAGCTCTCGGGGGCTGTAATTATCGCTTGGTCACTTGAGGCCGCCCATGTTTTGTACACAGCCACCATGTTCGCAGCAACACATGGGATGATCATCGCTTCAGTCTAGAATAAAAGGCACCGGTTGGATGAACTGAATTATGACTGCGGAAGGACCTTGGAAACGAGGCGGAGGGTTTTGATGTAACAAATTACGAAGGCTGACGCGAACTGCGCGGCTGTTCCGTATATAGTCCATGCCGTGATAGGCATAGATTCGCGCATGACGTAAGTCCGCCCCTTCCTCTGTACTCAGGCATACTGCCTAACCCTTCACCTCCGTTTGACGCGCTGCGTATCACCTTGGATCTTACAACGATGCGACGTGCAACGAGATTTATAGGTAGGACTTCACGTATCACCACAGAAGTTGACTCGTGTTACTGTTCCGTGGCTTAGTTGATGCAGCATAGCAGCCTTCGGATAAAGCCCGACATGCAAGGAAATGTCGCTCGATTGCAGGGTTATCATTCACCGGTAGCCTCTGGGGACCTTTTTGATGCAAGCATGCAACCATGTTTCATCGTAGCGTTACGCAGCCATTATTTGGGGGCTGCTATCTCAAGACTAGCCATCTATGGAGGACACGGGGTCGATAACATGGGTGTCAGCCGAAGGCTTACGCTGCGCCCCACTCTATGCAGGTAGTTACCTCGCCCTCCACCGTCCACCTTTGCTTCATGTCTCTTTCAACATCGAATGATCTTATACACCATTTTTTTGCAAATGTTAGAAGTCTGGATAGGACTGAACGCAGACGCACACCTAGTCGGCAACCTCGATAGCTGGTAGTGTCATCATGTCAGCTACTACCGGAGCCACTGCGACAAGAACTACGTCCCTTGCAGCCACGGCTCGCAATACCAAACCTACTCCATCGCTTTGGGACACTGCGAATTCGAAACTGGACATCAAATCACGGAAAAGCCTCGCATCCGTCAACGTAGGAAACGGCCGTGTGATTGATGCCGTGTCAAAGGAGGCGGTTATTCAGCAGAGAGCCCTCTCCGCGAAGAGATGGAAAGCAACTTTCGGTGGCAAAGAGGTCATATTGCGCGACGTTCTTGCAAAGATTATTCGATGGGTAGACCATTTTAAAGCTGTGGGTGATATCGCCGTACAATTTAATTCGGGAGCCGCCAGTTTGCCTTGGGCAGCTGTTCGATTCTTGTTGCAAGTTGCCGTCAACGACAAGCAGTATCTAGAAGCTACGATCGAGGGGGTTGAGATGGTCACTCAGAAAGTTGCTACATACGCTGCTATGGAAGACCTGTACATGGACTCGGACTTCCAGCTTCATACCCAGATCCGCAGCAAGGTCCTCGGACTCTACGTCCACATTCTGAGCTTTCTTGCAGAGAGCATACAGTATTTCAAAACCAACATGCCCAGTAAGTCTCACATTTGACTCCTCAGCGTCAATCTCTGACGTACAGCAGGCCGTACAGCAAAAGGCGCATTCTCGACTAACCAGGGCGAGAGACTTCGGCAGATAGCTAAGCATGACACCGAAATTCGACAACTAGCCAAGATGTGCGACTCACACGTCCAGCGGCTTATACGAACGGACGTCATGCGGATCGATGAGAACATCATGACTTCGCTAAAAGCACAATCGTTCCGCGACTTCATCGCATGGCTATCATTGACACCATACAGAGAGCATCACACCCGTCATTCCAAGCACCGCTTACGCGGCACTACTCAATGGCTTACGAACGATCCCCGTTATGTCGACTGGAAGAGCACTGCATCTTCATCGCTCTTATGGCTTCGCGGTATTCTGGGCTCTGGGAAAACCAATCTGATCTCTGCAGTGATTGATGATTCACTGCATGGTAACAATGTGCAAACACCAGTTTTGTATTATTACTGCGGCGACACCAAGAGTTACGGCGGCAGAAGCGACGCGAAGGACGTGATGCGGAGTCTGTTGAGACAACTCACTGTCAAGAACGAAGAGACCTTTGAGATCGTCGAGCAAGTTCACCTGGAGTTCAGGCGGAGACAGGCAAGAGGAAATGTTGGCATGGGGGATGTGGACAAACTTGAGCCACACGAATGCACACACTGGATAGCCGAACTCCTCCAAAGCGATGAGGTAATCATCATAATTGATGCCATCGATGAGATCGACGTCACGGATAGGCATCATCTTCTCAAAGAGCTCATAGCGCTTCGAGACGATTCGAGCCGTATTACGAAGATGCTGCTTTCCAGCAGAGATGACACGAACCTTACGCAATGGCTAGAAGGGGCACCAGAATTGCGCTTACAAGCATCGCTCACTGAAGCTGACATGGAACATTTCATCAGACATTGCGTTTCGACAGCAGTCGACAACAAACATCTTCTTGATGGTAGGGTAGACCCTACCTTTCAATCAGAAATAGAATATTATCTCCTCGACCGAGCAGGTGGAATGTGAGTCCTATCATCTCTTTGACATGATTTCGGCTTCGCCTTGCTATAGACTAATACACCGATCAGGTTTCGATGGGTGGAGCTCCAATTGAAGCACTTCTGCGACCTGAAGGCTGAATCCAGTATCAAGCACACGATGTCAGATCCTGCTGGAGCTTCCATTCATACCGTCAATCAGCTGTATGCTACAATATTTGATGGAATTCTCAAGACGGATCCTGTGGCATACGAAATAGCAGCACAAACCTTCCGGCTGATGCTGTGTCTGCACGAGATCATATCTCCTCTGGCACTACTTTCTGCAGCATCCATCACACGCGATGGGTCGAAGAACTCTTTGGAGCTTTCGGATCTACTCAGAATCTGCTCCCATCTGGTAGTTCTCGATGATGAGCTCGACACGATCCGATTCGCTCATGCTTCCGTTCAAGAATACTTGTCGCGTCTCCCAGAATTCAGCATGATGGATGCCAACAGCGCAGCCGCTTCGAGTTGTCTTATCAGATGTATCGACAGTCCGCTCTCCGATCTGACCCTCGGTGTTCAACCTTCTGCCGATTTCGACGTGTATGCAGCAATGTACTGGCCGCTTCACTACAATGCCGCGAGCGAAAAGGATCGTAGTGGTCATCTAGGGGATACTTTGAGGGAATTCATGTTCTCTGATCAAGAGCTCATGCCACCTTTTCCATGCTGGATCGAAACAGTAGACGACATCGTAAAGACGCTATCGGGGCCACACATACGTCGCTCAGACCTGACCGCTATCGTGAGCGAAAGCGCCACGCCGTTCTTCACTGCCTGCATCTACGGATTAGAATTTGCTATCGGGGTTCTGTCTGGAACGTCATCCTTTGATGTGAATATGAAGAATGCGCATGGAAATACTGGGCTTTACCTAGCCTCGTCTGCGGGTCAAGTCCGGGTGGTGGAGGATCTACTGAAGCTAGGCGCTGACATCGCAATCGAAGGTGGGCGTCACACAACTCCACTTCAAGCTGCATGTGCCAACGGCCATGGAGACGTTGTGCAGTTCATCATTGATGTCTCATCTCAGAACCTCACAAACGAGATGATTACCTCGGCCATGCATGCAGCTTTACGTAATGGCCATGAGGACATCGCAGTAATGCTTCTGAAGAAACGTGCTTTGCCTATGTCGCAAGACATCCTTGACCAGGTGTTTGAAACTGCTGCAGGCATGGGTTTCATAGAACTCATGGCCCACTTGCAGCGCACATCACAGTCGCTGAGCAGAAACAAGAAATTGGCAATCGGAGGCGCGGAAAAGACTTTCCATGATGATAAGATTGAGCGGTTTGAAACGTACTACAAAACCAAGGCACTGCCTGATGACGCAACCGCAACAGCTGCATTCTATGGCCAGAACAAGATTATCGAATTCTGTCTCAACAAGGGTCTCGATATTGAGCATGAAGGACCGTTCGGAACACCACTTCGTGCGGCGAGCTTGATGGGCCATGGAGCAACTGTGCGGTTGCTTCTTGACAGAGATGCGATAGTTAGTTCGAATGGATCATTCGGTGACGCGCTCCAAGCGGCCTCAATGAGAGGACACTTGTCAATAACCACAATGCTGATAAGAAGTGGGGCGGCTGTCGACAACTCTGGTGGTTACTACGGCAATGCGCTACAAGCAGCCACGTATCGCGGCCACATCGACGTTGTAGAGGCCCTTCTTGCAGCAGGCGCTTCTATCAGCCAAAAAGGCTTGTTCAGTGATGCGCTAAGTGCTGCGGTGTCAGCGGGCAATCAGTCCATCGCGAACTTGCTTCTACGAAGGGGCTATCAAAGCACATCCCTCCTGGATGATGATGAGATCATGCGCATGACATCCGCTAATTCTGAGGCGCCTTCCCCAACGCACGTTGATCTTCTATCAACACTCAATTCGACACATCATTCTGAGCGCAGTCTGCACACAGATCGAGCAAACGTGGTTGAAGGACGGGATCTCAGCTTTGGCGCGGCATACGAGAGCATCCATAACGGTATTGGAGTCGAACACGCCACAGAACTCGCAGATCTTAAGCACCATGAACGGTTTGGATCTCATTCTCTGCTCGTTGCCATAGCGGCTGGCCAAGAGTCTATCGTCCGCAGTATGTTGGATTATCGCTCCGCCATTCGGCTTTCGTTATACAATATCGGGGTTGGACTGAAGGTGGCTTCTGCGGCTGGTCAACTCGGTATCGTTGACAATATTCTGGGTACACCAGATCTACCAGGAAAACACATTCCACGGGCATTGGAGCGCGCAGCTTGGTATGGGCATGTTGCCGTCATAAAGCGGCTTCTCGAATGTGAGGAAGCATACGGTCCCCCACCATCCAGTCATTATGCCCCGTTCACTCCAATGGAATATGAGCAACCTATGAGAGCGAAACGTGACAGGAAGATAAGTCAATGGTCAGACAAGAATTCCGGTGACAAGAAGGAGAGCCGATGGTCGGACTATTTTTGCCTTTCTCGCAAAGTGGTTGAGACGAATGAAACGGCTGATAACGGTCATGTCATGAGGATTCTTCTACTAGGTTGTCGAGGTAACGCACCAGACACAGTGGAGCTTGCACTACAATTGGCACCGGAATCCGGCCTACAGAATCTATTTCCAATCGCTCTAGCTTTCACAATTGAGTGCGATAGCGAACGAGCATTGGAAGTACTCTTTCGACATTATCCTTCAATCGACACGATCGCGCTGAAAAGTGCTTGTGCTCAAGCGGAAGAAGACAGATCTCTTCGTGTGCTCTACGTCCTCTTACAACACAACAGCGATCACGGGTACCAAGTGCAAAATTACTGGGATATTTACGACGGTGCAGCTAAGACCAAACACAACGACCTCATCTGTTATCTTAATACCCAACCGCCGTACTACCGAGACGACTTGTTGTTCGCACAGACATTTGTTGAAGCTGCGCGGCGAGGCTACGTCTCCGCAATGAAGGCTTGGGAAAAACAATTGCTTCAATCCATCAATCATGAGCTTTTGCTATCGCAGGCTCTGGACCAAGCATGTGCAAACGGACATGTTGTGGTGGCATCATATCTCATTGAACTCGGGGTGGACGTCAACGCAATTACCGACAAGCCTATACCGTGTCCCAGCTTTGTCGATAATCACTCCATGCCTTGGCATATCTACAAAGTTACTACGAATGAAGTCTGGCCAAGGACAGCATTACAGGCCTGTCTTCAAGCCACGCCGCAATATGACCGGATCTGTGGAATTTCCACAAAAAGACTGAAGAATTTCAAAGACAATAAACGGGAATTTCTTAGCAAGCAGCAAGCCTTAATCAAATTGCTGTTGCGCGAGCATGCAAACGTCAATGTCGTGGACAGCCTTGGGCGAAACACTTTACATTCCGCGGCTGCACTTTGTCCCGTGGAAACGGTCCGCATGATATTAGCGAGTGGTGCAGCGATTGATATACCTGACAAGGACCACAAAACGCCTTTGATCTACGCTGCATGGAGAGAACTTGACTCATTCACCGTTCTGAATGTTTTGACTGGAGCTCAGGAAGAGGCCAAGCCACCAGTGACCCACACCTCTCCAACCGTACTTTTAGATGCGGCACTTTCAGTGTTCAAGGACGGTTTCGTCGAGTCTGATACTGTTCGCCAAGTGTTAACTACCGGTTCAGGAGCTGTCATTCGGTACCTTCTGCAATCGCAAACTGGCCTACAAGCCACAGCGACTGGATTCACTCTCCTGCTCCAAATGGCGTCAGCGGACGGTGATTTCGAGTTCGTGAGATTGCTCATAGACCGAGATGTCGATTTTAAGGCTGTAGGTCACTACTATGGAACTGCTTTACATGCTGCTGCTCGGTTCGGTCACCTGGACTGCGTCAAACTTCTTGTAGAAGCTGGCACCGAGATTGCCTCGACCGCGGGTAACTTCCGATGGACTCCACTACGTGCCGCAGTGGAAGGCCAACACTTAGCGATCGTGCAATGTTTGCTCGACTGGGGTGCGATGCAATCGTCAAACGATTCCATCGATCAAGGGTCGGCGCAATCCAATGAGAATTACGCAACGCTGACTTTCGCCTGTCGTAGTGGCAGTGTCGATCTAGTAAAATTGCTGCTTGCATTCTCGGAACCAAACAGACCGATGCCAGACCAGACAGAGATACTGCGTACTGGATTTGTGGATATATCTAGCGCGCTACACATCGCCTGTGAACATGGCCATGTGGAAGTTGCCGCACTGTTGATCGAATATGGGGCAGACGTTGAAGAGGAGTCAGGTCGGTCCTTGACTCCACTGAGAACTGCTGCTATTGCTGGAGATCTCGGAATGATGGAACTCCTACTGACCGCGGGAGCTACTTTGTACGATGCTGGACGAGACGTCAACATCCTGAGGACACTTGTCGTAGAAGAGAAGCCAAAGGATATCATCGACTATGTTCTTACTCGTTTGCTAGATACGGACGACTTCACAAACGCTTGTACGGAGGCCCCAGCATATATGCGCGCTTGGCAAGAAGACGGCAAATTTGTTATCCATGTGGAAACCATGCAAAGTTCCGAAAGACTGCTGGCGAACCTTGCAGCCCTAGGTGCTCAAAAAAGTATTGAGATGATGATGGGAAGCTCGATCGACATGGCCAACGTGAGACCTCCGGTGCTTCAGGCAGCAGCCTACTTCCAGAGCTACAACGTTCTTTTCGAGCTCTTGCCGATGGTGGTCATCCCGCAACCCTTACCATTGGATTACCAGTCTCCAGTCTACGCCATGCTAGAAGGCCTCATGCCCATACAATTGAAGACAGACAGGTTCCACAAGAATTTATGCTGCGAGGCTTGGGCCAGAGATTCCTTCTTGTACTCTTGGCTTCCCGGCCGGTCAGCCAAGGATTGTGCATGCAGTAATGCCCGCGCTGCTGCCAGTGAGGCTATATTGAAGCTTGCGCAGGTTGACAAAAGCCATATTTGCGCATCAGCTGGCATTCTACACCTAGCTTCTTACCTGGGAATGCTACAAGTTGTCCAAGTATGTCTCGATCTCGGCGTCGAAATTGACCAGCGTCACGAATCATTCGGGTCCGCGTTGATTGCTGCAATCGAAGGTGGTAGCTCGGAGGTAGTTACGTTGCTGCTACAGCGCGACATTGACGTCAACACGACATCTGATGACCCTGGAACCTCTCTCTACCCTACATGCCAGACGCGAGATATGTATGGACGACGAGTTGTGGAGTTCAAAACTCCCGGCACTGGAACAGCCTTGCATAGAGTCTGTCAGAACGGTGATCGCGAAATGGCCGAAGTACTTCTCCAACATGGTGCTCAAGTCAATGTGTTGATCCCCGGAAAGGGAACACCTATGCACGTTGCTTGCGAAAAGAGAGACGAAGAATTACTCAAACTACTTTTCACATACGGTGCCAACGTTGACATCATCTCACCTAATTTGGGATCAGCCTTGCATGTAACATGCAAATCTGGCAACGCTGGCTTGGCCAAGATACTTCTACAACATGGCGCGAACGTTAACGTGTTCTCGTCGAATCATGGAACACCTCTATATGCTGCATGTGCAGAACATGGAGATGATGCAACGATACGACTACTACTAAAGCATGGAGCGGACGTCAACTCGAAGGGAAGCAAGGGAGAAACCCCACTCACATCAATCTTGTCGCGGGAAGGATACCCCTCCGAGCGATTGATAGAATCGCTTCTCAGCACTGAGCAGCACGTAGAAGCCACTGAAAACGATTTGGATCGATTAGTGACCAGGTACTCGGAATGTGCGATTCAAATGTGCAAGCGGGTACTAGCAGGCAATACGCATCTGAAGCCTACGATCGAGACCATTCGATTGTTGATCGCTGACCTTCGATATCGCGATTCAGAAATACTTCGTCTGCTTCTTGCAAGAGCGCCACATCTCACGATCACATTGGACATAGTCAAGCAGGCTAAGAGTCTTGAAAGTTTTGAGCTTCTGACAAGACACGGATCTTGTATCGAGATCACAGCAGACTTAATGCGAAGTTTCCTGGATCCGCTCGAGCTGAATTTGATAAAGTACTCCGTACAGTCTGCGCCCGAAATCAGGCCACCACCCGCTGTCGTCACAGCGATCAGAGCCATTTTAGACCGACCGGAGCCTAAGTCTGATGGATCTCATCGAGGAGATTTGTGGGTGTCCTTCGTGAAACATTACCAAAGTTGTCAAGAGCCAATTGCAAAAGAGATCATGGAGCTCATAGTGGCTCGACATCCTGACGTCGAATCACATTCTGGCACAGCATGTGCTGCGTGATACCAGCGCATAGTCGTAAGTGGAAGAGTATGGGGCAAGTAATGTCCGTGGAAGCAATGGGACGCATCATCCTGGTGATTTCCACACGGCGGCGGGCCACATGTTCTGCTCAATCCATAGATCCGCTACGCAAAATACCTTCTCCACCGTTCGAAACCATCTCAGCACCTTCCGTAGACAAATTTCAGATCAAAACCACAAGCTTCATTGCCAAAGATGCTAGACTTGGCGATTTGCTAGAGTTCTTGCTGTCTCATTCACCAATTTTGGCGAGAGAGGGACCTGCAAACTTTACAGCGGGTTGTAGGTGCAAAGCATCAATTTTGTCCTTGGTTGTGCTGCTTTATCTGCTCGTAGCGTAGATTATCAGCCGCGTAAGCGTGCAACATGTTTAGGACGGCCTAGAAGTGCTCGTTACCAAGTAAATACGGAGCCTTTAGACAGCGTTCTGGAGAGCTCGAGCTAGTATAACTCGCCTGTCTTCTCGTGAGCTTTGCTCTCATTGTTTCTGTTTTCTAGTTCCTTTTGCTCTTGCTGGGGTGTGCAGGTGCTCTATACATGATAGCACTAAGTTGGGTCGACTCAGCCTTCGATTCGTCTTAAGAATCGCATGCAGCGTAGAGTGCTGAGCTTTCTGGAAAGATCGAAGTATATCATGTCCTTTTCGAGTTATATTCTCACGTTCAATGATGGCCGCTGCTGTGAAGTTGAGCAATTTCGTGACGATTTCCCTAGCAAGCGACATCTTAGAAATGTCTCGCCCTGGAATGATTACGCTGGGTGGAGACAAAAGACGGCGGAGCATTGCAGTAAGCGAGCGCGCTAGACTGAACTTGCTTAGACCTACCGGACGGCGGGAGTTCTGGAGCTGAACTTGCTTTGCGTCCAGTCGAAAACCAGTAACGTGGCTTTGGAAGGCCATGGTGGTCAATTTTCGCTGGAGTCTCTCATCGTTCCCACCGAAATGAGAATGCAGGGCAAGTGGCGACCGCGGAACTGCATTGGGATCTAACAGGTGAGATGCACCAGCCGCTCGTGGTTAGAGAATGGGACCAACAGGGATCTGGCCGTGCGCACCATGAAGGCAGATTTAACCATGACAAGCGAGTAATGCATATATGCTCAGTACATGCCGTGTTTCGTGTTGGACTTTGTTTTGGCTGGCCGCCTATCATATTGACGAACTCAGTGGTCGATCTAGGGCTCCGTTTGCCACCTTGAGTGGCGCTCCGCGCAGCAACTTGATCGCAGTGCGAAGCAGCTCCACCCAGGTATGCTTTCTGCAAACACATCCGCGGATTGGCATCCACCAATCGGACAGTGTGTCGCCCTTTGCCTTGTAGCTGCTTGTTTCGATGGATTCATGGTCTCTGTGGTCTAGACTGTAGCCAGGGTAGTTCGCGTGGCCTTCGCGGTCTAGATCGCTGTCAGCGGCCTGGTTCGCCGCTACCTAAACCGTTTGCGCTAGTACGCCTACCGGCAATGGATCGTGGCTGAAATGTATACCAGCAAAGCACCCCTCAGTACCATCGATCGATCTTTTTGTGTCGTCATGCTGGTGATTTAGTCATGGCGGTAGAGATTGATCAGCCCCACCCCTCTCTTTCCAGCAATTCAGAAAGCGATCCCGCCGTCGATTCCGATCTGCGATACGACCGAAACTTGGACTGGGCCAACCCCGCCGCTGGAAGCCTCCTCACGACGACTGACGATATCACCAAAGACGAATTGCTAGCCCGTCGCGAGAATTCTCTGGACGAGATATCCCGAGCTTGCGAGTCTGCGTCAAACCTCGACACGCTTTGGCCCTCGATCTTGTGTGGCATATCCAATGGGAATGGGGATATAGCTTTTGCTGCTCTGTACCGCGCAGAGACGACCATCGAACGAGTGGAAGGAACGAGTCTTCTCACCAATCGAGTCAACCCATTGAGTTTCCTGCTCTCTGGGACTGTTGGTTCCTTCCCAGCCGCGCCTCCGTGCAAACTCGAGCCTAACATCGACCAAAAATGGGTGCAGGGCTTTTTCAGAAGTGTCAATACTCATGCGCCGGTGGTTCTCCAGGCTGAAGACGGTACTTTGCCCTTGGAAATGCGACAGGCGTCCAAGGATCGATGCCATGGCGATGCTTGTTACCAGGCTGTCGTGTTGCCGAGCGCTTGGAACCGGATCACCGATGTTCACGCTGTCTTAATAGTTGGTCTGGCGCCACGGATACCGTACGATCGCTCCTATCAAGCATGGATAAAGACGCTCCATGGCGAATTTTCGAACGAAGTAGTCTCGTGGGTGCTTGAAGAAGCGAGGCATCTTGCTGAAAAGAATGAAGACGAAGGGATTGGGAGAGAGATAGATATCATCACAAGAGAACAGGCCCTTGAGCAGCAGGAGGCTACTGTAGCCGACGGAGGCTTGTCACGGCTACTAAAAATCATGGGCGCAGCGAGGTTTGTGTCGCATGGGATGCCACCGGATAATGCTAACTTGATGCGGGTAGTGTTGGGGTTTTCGAATGTTCCTTGTCGGGACATGTACTGCAGGTCAATGTACGGTCAGCTACTCAGCGTTATCGTTCGCGTTCTAACATGATGGCAGAAAGGATTTTGCGATTTGAGTGGTTGTTCTAGGGAGCTGAACGTGGAAAATCAGCCGAAGCTGGTAGATCTCTGTGACGCCGAAGACGTACCGGTGCTATCACTAAACTGGCAAGCGCTTCTTGCTGGCCTACAAGCAACGCTCTCCATCAGATTTCGGCTAGCAGGTGGAGTGAGAAAGTGGGTGCAAATCGCCTGTGTCCCTGTCTTTGACAGCCTCTCCGTAGTCATTGGCGTTACCGGCTGTGCTACGGACATAGACGCACAGAAGAAAGTCGAGCATGAAGCAATCTTTAGGCGCACAGCAGCCCTAGAGCAGCTCCATCTCAGCGAACTGCGTCTTCGAAATCTCGTTGAGAATGCTCCCCTCGGAATCTTGATCTTCAATCGGGACATGCGGCCCTCTTTCGCCAACAAGACCTGGTTCAAAATGACTTCGCATTCCACTATACCAGCAGCTGACATCGACGTTCGCTCGGTTATATTTCACGAGGATCTTCCACAGTTCGATGAACGTTTGCATGACATTTCGCGTACTGGAGAGTCTGCGACCTTTCATCTCAGACTAAATCGACTATGGACAGCAGACTCGGACTTCTCACAGCAAACTTGGGTGCAGTTCACAGCCTTCCTGGAGATGGTGGACAACGACAACTTTCAGATTACAAGTACAATAATGGACATTAGCGATTTCAAGTTCTCTGAGGCGTTGCAACTCAGAAGGCTCGAACAAGCCGTGGAAGCGAAAAGACAGCAGGAAAAGTAAGTACGCACTGATCCCAAATACGTGGTCGCTTTCTGACAGTGCGCAGTTTCATTGATATGGTGAGCCATGAGGTATGTACCTGGAGCTATGCATGCTTTAGCTTGTTCTGATAAATCACAGATCCGAAATCCTCTCAATGTGGTCATGCATTGCGCGGATTCAATAGCCCACTCCCTCTCGGAAGTAAAGCTTCTTCTTGATCGGTGCGATAGTGGAAGCATGTCCAATCTTGAAAGCGCCTCAGCCGCCGACGACTGCCGCAGTCTCAACGACAACGTGGTCGATGCTGTCGAAACGATCACGTCATGCACTATGCATCAAACACGTATCATAGACGACATTCTTTCGCTCTCCAAACTAGATTCGGATCTACTCGAGATTTGCCCTACCGTCTTCCAGGTGAAGAGCTTCCTCGGACGAGTCGAAAATACTTTCAAGCTTGATGCTGAACAGGCCGGAGTTCAGCTTCTAGCTGTTGCCGATCCTTCGTTGAGCAAGCTTGGGGTTGACTGGATTGACGCAGACCCTGGAAGAATCACGCAAGTGCTATTCAACTTGGTGGCCAATGCGATCAAGTTCACCAAAGATACACCTGGCGAAAAAGCTGTCAGCGTTCGCATCGGGGCAGCATGTTGGCCACCCACCGCCATCTTCGATGGCCTCATCAAGACAGTGCAAAAGCCCGTTCAGACAGATCAATCAGTACTCGAAACGGAGCTATCAGCAGGCTCCATCTTTTTGTGGTTCAAAGTAGAGGACACAGGATGTGGAATGGATGAAGCGGCCAAAGCGCGTGTCGCAACCCAATTTACACAAGCCTCGCCTAAGACTCACAGTAGATATGGCGGCTCCGGACTGGGGCTATCCATCAGTCAAAAACTAGCAGCTTTGTTAGGTGGCGAGATTGGGTTCAACTCCCAGCAACATGTCGGCTCTACGTTCGCATTCTACACTAGAGCATCCAGGGCTTTACGGCCAAATTCGATCCCGTCAACCTTGAATCCCAACGACACAGTCAATACCGAAGGGACGACCTTAGCGCACCCTCATGCTACGAGTACTACTGCTGATACGCCGTCTACGAACCCATCCAGCATCCTGCTCGTTGAAGATAACTTGATCAATCAACGCGTTCTGAAGAAGCAGTTGCAACGTCATGGGTATATTGTCCACACAGCCGATAATGGGCAAGAAGCCTTCGACTTCATCAAAACTACGCAACACTGGAAGGGTGCTACTGCATCAGCGCCCAGGATAGATGTCATCCTTATGGACATCGAGATGCCCATTGTCAATGGTCTCGAATGCGCGAGTATGATCCGCGCCGCGCAGCATGACGGATCTATCAGCAAGCACCTTCACATCATCGCTGTTACTGCGAATGCGAGACCGGAGCAGCTGAAGCGCGCGAAAGAGACTGGAATGGATGACGCGGTCCCAAAGCCATTCCGAGTGAAAGACCTTGCAGCTGTTATCGAGCAGTTGAAGGATGGGTGATTGAGTGACGGAATACTCTCGAGCACCTTTTTCACGAAGAGTGACGAATATCGTTGCACTTCGCTCACCTACCATCTGTGTCAGAGGGCGCTTATGGCACGCGAAAGCTTCACCACGAACCGGATACGATCGAGCCTTGCCGTTCCTTCTCTTTTGATCCTCACCTTATCGGAATCTAATTCTTGGCGTCATGATGACGTGTAAGGTTCCGACAGCCTTTCTGTTTCTGTCGCTGTCAGTATACTCGCTTGAGGGCGTATAATAAGGTATGCTATCAATTACTATATGCACGCTCATACTAATTATCAACAGACAAACTTCAATCACAACGCACTTTTCTGTCAATCTGTCGACTTGTGCCTGGAAATGTTGTCGCTTGAGTCATCAAGACACGAACTGCCTATCACATCTTCTGTCAGAGGTCTTAGAGTTGAAGAAGCAGACGACGGGGAGCTAAGAGCGAATGATGATGAAGACGCGTGTCTGCGTGCCACTATCACGGTCTTCGGCCAGCAAGCCAAAGACTGGAAGACCAAAGCTGAGGATAAACCCAAGATCATCGAACACGTAGATTGGAAGACCTCCAAGAGTTTCGCGGGATCTGATCTTTCGGATGATACAATACCCCTCCTTACTCGCCTTGAGAGCGAGGTCTCACGCTTGCGACCCGAGAACACTCAGTCGAAAGAGACTCCCAAGAAGATCGAGTAAGAGAATGTCAGTCCGAGCAACCAGAAATACGGAAAGACATGAGAACTGAATGGTACCGATAAGGAAGCGAGGAATGCCAAGGACATGACGGTGGAGAAGGATGACAAGCAGCGCCATCTGGCGTCTGAGCGTCGGATGAATAGGGAACGCGGCGATGCTCTGGCTGCGTTGCAAGAACAAAGCAAACACAACAGGCATTCACGACCAAAGCTTGAGGTAGAGCACTTTGTATTACTCCGCATACGCGATGCGGCTTCAAATTCAAAAAATACACTGCTGCCGTCTCCAGATCTAGTCCAACATCCACCGCATCGCTGTGCAGCCGATAATGATGTTTCTCGTATGGCACCAGATGAACGTAACTGAGGAGTTCCGCGAATGGTACAAAGAGTGGAGGAGGAGCGCTTAGGAGGAGCGCAAAGTGTTCAGTTCAGAAGGAGTGAACAATGAGAAGAAGAAGCTGGAGAAACTATATGGGGGATATGGTTAAGATGTCAAAGGATTACGCCGAGACAGGTGCGGAGCACGATGAGTGACATTCGAAACGCGCCGTCCAGGCAGTCTGTCGTAATGCAGAAGTTCGATACCATGCAGACATGTAGACCTTGCAAACAGTGAGTCTTTATAGTGCCATACTTCTTCTTTCCGACTTGCTACGTAGCATCGAGAAAATCGCTTAATAACAGCCTGATTGTGCTAAGTATGTGTTTATGCGTGCAGTATAGCATATCTCACAAACCGTAAAGAATGAACCCATCATGAAAATCGACGCGGGCGTGGTAGAAGGACAGTGGGTGCTTGGCAAGGCGGTTGGAATTCTTGATGTTAGCTGCACTGACTCATGACCCTCGGCCCCGCCTTGCAAACCCTGGAAATCTCTTAAGCCGAGGCGAAGTGTCGGAACATAGATTGATCAATCCTACTTCTACGTACTTGCACTCTTCGCGAATGGCCTATATAAAGATACAGCAAACTCATGTCAGTTTTCTCCGACGGAGTTTGAATCTTTCCGAGGTCTGGTAACTAATTCTAATACATGAGCATACTGTCGGTGTGTTCTCTCTAACACGAAACTGTTGGGCCCATGGCACCGTGCCGCATTCATTAACCGCCTTGTAGAGACCACGCCTCATGCCGCTACAGGCGCCTCACGAAAGGCAAATTCTATCTTAACCTTTCTTGGATCTCTCAGTAAGATTAGTGTTGCATCCGAAAATTGACCTGCTCCCCCATTATTGTCATCCTGTACTCTTTTTTTCCGGTCATCCTACACCATTCATCACGACAGCAGGAAAGATGCGTACTCATAAGATCAAGATGCTTTCTCCTTCTGAATACGAAGTCACTTATTCGCATGAATCTCCTTCTATATACGAAATCACTTATTCGCGTGATGCGACAGTCAAGGCCTTTCGCAACTATTTCCAATTCTTGTCAGCTATGTACGCAGACGAGTCTATAATCCAGGAGCCTCCCGAAGATGGATAACCTACAATCAGTCCGAACGGCTGGCCGAAATTCGACAAGATGGACAAGGTGATCGACCTTCTTCGTCATCTACCCTACATAAGTGGCTTCACCCAGATCGCTCCCGAGTGTGATCTTGTAAGCTGGCATACATGTCGTGGGGATGAGGATGGTGCGGATTTCCATGAGGTGTCCGAGCCGTTTGAGGACGAAGCAAAGATACCATCTTACATTGTGGGTCTCACGTCGCAATGGACGAAAGGCCTGATTTCCTACTCGATACGGAACTCGGCGTCATTTACTGGTATGAGTGTGAGGACGAAGCCAAAGTCGATATACCAGAAGTCCATCCCGACCCTTACGGCTGGTTTGACGATAATCTGATCACAGAAGACCAGGCCGAATGGCGGTCCAACGGTGGAGTCTGGGAGATCTCGGACTTCTTTGAGATGCTCAAGGCTAATTTCAGAACGCTCAATTTCGTACCTTTTCGCTATGATAATGTCAGAGCTGCTTGGCATGGTCGCAGTGACGAATGTCAAGAGACGCTTGAGGGAGTCCAGAAGATCTACAAAGATTATGGGTGACCTGATTTGAAACGATACCGCAAGAATGACTGCCTTGCAGCTATCGAGGTCTATTTAAAAACTCGTGAATAGGGTTCGAATGAGCAGGGGGTGGAGGAAGAGTAAAATCAATAGTGCGGTCTTAGCAATGGCGGCTCGGACTTTGCACTCTTCTGACTATCCGTATTCCGTGCAGCTGTGCCGTCGTGAATACTATGCTTGGCTGAACTAACCCCAGTACCTTATGCGATCCCTGCATAATTGCTTGAGAGCATGTATATGTGCAGAGAGTATTTTGTCAAAGCTTCCCAGCCTCTCACATCTTGACAACACCAGCTGAATAGCTCTACTCATACTTGTCCTCCTTCCCATCTCATGATGATATTATCCATCTTCCTTGTTGCTGCGTCAGCATCCAGAGTAGCAGCACTGGATCCATCAGAAATTTCCATACTCTTTCCCAATTCCCCACCGTCTGGATTCGACGACTATCCGGATTGCTCCATCTCAGCCTACACACCCTTTTTTGACCCTCCATTGCCTTCCGGGGCCGTAAGATCAGCCTTGGACTCCTACGGCGACGAGCTGATTGCCAATTGCACTGGACTTGAATGTCCATACCCGGATGCTACGCGTTGATGCGGAATCATCACTGCTGCACCCACTGCCGTCCTTCCTGCATACACTATTTATGCCAGTTCTGCTTCGGTATGGTGGGCGAGTCACGGTTCCCCTGCCCTTGAGCTTGCCGAGGAGTGCCCACATTATTGGTACACGGCTTTGACTAAGAAGCCGACTGCGGGTACGTGGTTGAACTTGACCATTGCAAATGCAGAATGTTTTGGGAAGGCGCTTGGAGGCGATGCGTCATCGATAGCCACGTCTTCGACCCAGCCTTCGCTCGCTTCATCGCCACGATCGTCGTCTGCGTTGGTCGCAAGCCCTACATCCACCACGTCATCTTCTGCCAGTATTGCGCTGTCACCAAATGGTACGTAAACCTCACCTGTATTCCCTGAAAGAAAACTAGAGTCAGGATTGCAGAGATGTCAACAATCAATCTGGATTGATTGGCTTGATTGATTCGAATCAATCTGCTCATTCAATCAAGCCAATCTCGAGATTTTTTTGCATCAATCAAGCCAATCTGAAGATTTTTGTAGATCTTTTACTTAGCTAGGCTAGCTAATTATCTATTTAGGAAGGTAGCTTCTATCAATCCTATCAATTCAATCTACTTATTTTGAAAGAGCTATCAATTCAATTCAATCTGGGGTGCTCAGATTGATTGGCTTGATTGTTGACAAGTCTGCAGGATTGATGTATCATGCAGGCCAACGTGGAGGACTATCTGGATAGCTTTGCCCAGGGTGCGGCTTCGGAGACTGGTAAGCGATTTTCTATCTTTGTTCCACCCAATGGATATTGTGGCAAGATTAACAGCAGTGACGGATCCATATGTCCCGGAAGTGATTTTGGTGACTACTTTATGGATCCCTCACTCCCGCAATCATCTCCACGTCAATCACTTGGAAAGAAATTTAGCTCATCGTTGTGCTTCAGGCTCGGTTTATGGATGGTTTGGGTCGTCGTCTGGACATTGTGATGGCGGTTGTCAGACAACGTACGGAACGTGCAATACTCAAGCAAATGCTCTGACTGCAAGAGATGCATGGATGTCGACAGCGCCTACGGCGAGAGTGGTTGCTTCGATGACGACGCTTGCGGCGACGCAGGTAGCTTAGATTGTGATAAGAAACTTTGTAATACAGTAACTTCGAGCTGTACAAAGAAGCTCGTTTTCTTTACTTTTACACCACCGGCCCATGTTGATGTGTCACCTCAGCTAAGAGGTTGTGAAAGAGATGGGTTAACAGATGGTTGTAGTCCATATGGCTGGTTTGGCGCTGAGCTTGACCTTTGCGGTGACAGTTGCTAGTCGACGTATGGCGTGTGTAGCTCTAGCAGTGGCCTTACGATTAGGGCATCTGTCACCATAAATACTTGTGCTGTACCTTCTCGTGTCGGAGTAGCTACTCATACCGCGTTGCCGACAACAACGAACCAGCCAGCTAAGGTGGCCTACGGGTAGAAGACTCGGCAGGCTGATTGGTTCTGGAGGAACTTTATCAGAAAGGAACTATCATCGTAGACTCAGCAATAATACGAACCTACACACTCTCAATGGTGTCGGTCAAACTAACAAGAGAACATCAAGACGCTTGGTTCAATTTCACTGTGTTTCTTGTATCCGGATACATTCGTTGTTCTGGAGCTCTAAATATCGTAGTCGATATACAATCACAAATGGAGGTCTTGGAGTTCAGACAGCGTGACTAAGAAGTAGGGGACCGTGAGTTGTGCGCCATGTATGGCAGAAGATACGTTATCTCTATCCCTCGGGTTGCTCGGACACCGATGCCCCATAACGCGGGCCCTCGGACTCCAGTAGCGGTGAGCTTCCACACACTTTAGTACGCGTTGGATACGCTTGAGATTGAAATTTGCTAGTCTGTTGCAAAGAAGTGTATGACTCTGGTGAAATCGGGCCTGTTTCGAGGGATATCATGTAAGGAGCGCGACTTGCGGGTAGCGGACATGGCTATTGGTCCATCGGTGAGTAGCTTGGCCCCATCCTGTCGTTCTCGTTCTCGGTTTAGGTTTCGGTCTGTGGGTTGAGCTAGTGATTGGTTACACCAAATAGTATTTAGGACTTCAACCGTAGCACAAGAACATCATACCGCTTATCAAATTTGTCGCACCGATAGTCGTCAACTTCCCCTTATCAATCTCTCCAAATCTTACAGCAGCTACGAGAGGGGCCTATGTCCGTCATGACATCGTCTCATCCCACTCGCAATGTAGTTGTCGTCATTGGTGCTGGTGGGATGGGTCTCGCAGTCGCACAGCGACTGGCTCCCGGAAAGCACGTTCTTCTAGCCGACTTCCAGGAAACCACATTGAATAATGCCCTTTCCACGCTTCGGAAAGAAGGCGTTAGCTGTGAAGGTCATTCAGTAAACATCGCCCACTACCGATCCGTCGAGGCCTTTGCACATGCTGCTCATTCTGCGGGCCGTATCAACGCTATTATCCATACGGCAGGCCTGTCTCCTGGAAGCGCCAGTGCCAAAGAGATCTATGCCGTGGACTTGATTGGTACGGCCAATATAATCGAGGCTTTCTTGTCTGTCGCGTCCGAGGGAACCTCCTTGGTTTGCATTGCTAGTATGGCCGGCCATCTCATCACCCTTTCCCCCAGTCTGGAGCGTCACCTTGCTACCGCACCTCTCACGCAACTTTTGGATCATGAAGGACTGAACATGGAATCCTTGGATGGCAACGTTGCATACACCGTTTCGAAGCGGGCAAATATTCTGAGAGTACAAGGTGCTGCAAAAGCTTGGGGCAGTCGACAAGCCCGATTAAATAGCATCAGCCCTGGAGTCATTGCGACTCCGCAACTTCTCGCGCAACTGGATGGACCCCTTGGTGTAGGCCCAAAGACTATGGTCGGGGTTTCGGCTTTGCAACGTATGGGTACCCCGGATGAAATCGCAAACATCGCAGTTTTTTTGGCTGGACCCGAGTCTTCGTACGTCACGGGAACGGATATTCTTATGGATGGTGGAACAGTGTCAGCACGGAAGTGGTCGAAATCGGACTAGTCGACTATCAGTGACGTGAAGATGGGATAGGTAGAAAACTCTAGTCATAATGAATATCCTCGACTTCTCAACTCAGTTACCCTAGGCGCCTTGTGAAGGTGTTGAACGTCGGACGGCTGATGTCGGAAGCACGGGTGCAAGACACCAAGACTAGCCTTGGCATCTTCAGCCTCAACCCGCGGCAAGTCTGACGCACGACGCACGACCCTCGGACCCACATGACTCCGCCAAACAAGACGGCCAGGGTTCAATAGCAACCATGTCCAACATCCTGCCTCTGCACCACGCGTACTACCCCTCGCGCCAGTCGTCGCTTTCCAAACCAGTCAACCCCGTACAGGCAGCCTCCACGTCCTCGTCTGCAGCCACGATCCGCCCACAGTCGAACGTACAATCGCAACCACAAGCGCAGCACATAGCAATGAGCGGGAACGCAAGCCAAGGGCCCGGGCTGCGGTATCCTTCGAACAAGAAGAGCATATACGATAGGAACCTGAATCGTAGCAAGAATGCCGAACTTAGTAGAGCGGCGTTTGCATACCTCTTCATTGAGATGATTGCATATGCGCAAAAGGGCGCAAAGGATGTGGGGGACTTGGAGCAGAGGTAGGCAGAAAGAACCGAGTCGCGATGCCTCACATGTGTCCTAACAAACATATAGACTGAACACCCAAGGCTACCCCATCGGTCTCCGTCTACTTGACCTTCTCCTTTCCCGCACCGCCAACCCCCTCGCTAGTATTCGGCCCACACGTATCCTGCCTCTGCTGCAGTTCATCGCACAGCAACTATACCGCTACCTCTTCGGTCGCCCCGCCGACGCGTTAGAAAAGTCTGGTACCGATCCCGGACAGTACATGCTCTTCGACAACGACCCTATGGTCAACCAATACATAAGCTTGCCCAAGGAACTGTCAAGTCTGAATTGTGCGGCCTTTGTGGCGGGCATAATTGAGGGCGTGTGCGACGGCGCAGGCTTCCCAACCGAGGGTGTAACGGCGCATAGTGTAGGCGACGAAGAAGGCAAGGATGGGAAGGGACTGTGGCCGGGGAAGACGGTCTTTTTGATCAAGTTCAAGCCTGAAGTACTGGAAAGGGAAGAGATACTTGGCAGAGGTGGGGGCTGAGTTCTGCGGAGGACAGTTTATTCTTCTTGAGTGCAGCTAGGTTCTTGCTGCACACAATGGCATAGCGAGGCGTTGCGGATCTTTCTTAGGATTTCAGGTGGCTACAAAAACCAGCATGTTCATCATTGCGCTGCCACATATTCACAAGACCGCCAGATTAGTCTGGTTAAAGCTTTCACTGCCGAATCGTTGATCAATGCTTTGTTGGAATGAGCACAGTTGCCAGATACGGTATGCAACCATGCGTAGCTTCGTTGCTCAACGTGTTGCTATCACCGACTACCAGATGCATCAAGCGCGCTGCCACGTGACTGTCAAGCTGATGACAAATGCTGATTGGCGAGACCATTCACCTTATGCCTGAGCTTCAGCCCATGGTAGTTTACCAAAATAGAACCTTCTACAACATTGCGGCATCCCACCGACAAGCAAATACAAAAGTGCAGTCTGATCCTTACAACAACCGTCACATAAAAGCCCAACTGTTGACTGTACGACATATCAAGACACCACACCCAAACGTATACAGCATATATTACCAGCACGCCACATCTACAAACAGTACCAATCCCAATCATGCCAACAGAAATTTCAGCACCGCTACACTTCCGCACCTTGCTGAATGGACACGCCTACATGATCGCAGATTTCTACGCGACATGGTGCCCACCTTGCAAGCAGATCGCACCCATCTACAACCAACTGTCCACTGCGCATGCCTCGCCAGGGAAGTTCGCGTTTGTCAAAGTCAACGTGGACGAGCAGAGGGAAATTGCCGGACAATACGGTGTCACGGCTATGCCAACTTTCATGGTGTTCAAGGATGGGAAGAAGATTGAAGAGATAAGAGGCGCGGACGTAAGGGCTCTGAAGGGCGCAGTGGAGAAAGTTGCTGCGGAGTTGGGGAAGGCGAAAGACGCAAAGGTGGAAAAGAAGCCGGAGGTCAAAGAAGAAAGGAAAGAAGAGGATGAGAAGACGGTTAGTGGGAGCTATGGCATGACTGGGGGCAACAATTGGAAAATGTCGTTGCATTAGCTTCTGAAGATTGGTAGGAGGTGATAGGATCGTCACATGCAGATTGAGAGGACGATGGATTTGTGATACCCAGGAATGATAATGCATACAATACCTTGTCGCAGACAAGCAAGTCCGTGGTGAGCGAAGTGATTAGTATACATGACCAATGTTAAACGTACGTCATTCTCAGTTGTTGTGGTGTTGGATTTGTAACGCCCTCAGACGCGTAACAGAGGACACCTTTCACACTAAGCGATCGCCACCGCGCGGGACCCTGATAGCCGCTGTGCTGCTCTAGCTCCCCACCAGAATTCCCACCGCTCCTCAACACACAACTGGAGCCTCAATTCATCTTTGAGCTTCACAAACTTGCAAGATGCTTTTCTCCAAATTAATACCTGCGGCTATCGCGCTGCTACCCGCAATCGCCTCGGCATCGTCCGTCATCGACCTCACACCCTCCAACTTCGACGATGTCGTCCTTAAGTCCGGCAAGCCCGCTCTCGTAGAGTTCTTCGCTCCCTGGTGCGGCCACTGCAAGAACCTCGCTCCCGTTTACGAAGAGCTTGCTACCGTCTTCCAGCACGCTGGAGACAAAGTCAGCGTTGCCAAGGTCGATGCGGACCAACACAAGTCGCTGGGCAAGCGTTTCGGTGTCTCGGGCTTCCCTACCCTCAAGTGGTTCGACGGAAAGAGCGATAAGCCTACTGATTACAGCGGAGGACGTGACCTCGAGAGCTTGAGCAAGTTCATCACAGAGAAGAGCTCCGTTAAGCCCAAGGTCAAGGGCAAGCTACCCAGTCAGGTCGTCTACTTGGATGACAAGACCTTCAAGGAGAAGGTTGGAAAGGACCAGGATGTGCTCGTTGCCTTCACCGCCCCATGGTGCGGACGTATGTTTTTCCTCAACTCTGCTCTGCGGATGGATCACAGCTGACACCTGCATAGACTGCAAGACCCTCGCTCCCGTCTGGGAAACTCTCGCCAATGACTTCGTCACCGAACCCAATGTCTTGATCGCAAAGGTTGATGCCGAAGCTGAGAACTCCAAGGCCCTCGCTCAGGAGCAGGGCGTTTCATCCTACCCTACCATCAAGTACTTCCCCAAGGGCTCCACTGAGCCTCTCCCATACAACGGCGCCCGCGCTGAGAAGGACTTCATCGACTTCATCAACGCCAACGCCGGTACCCACCGTGCCGTAGGTGGTGGTCTTGACGCCACTGGTGGCACCATCGAGGCCTTCAACAGCGTCATTGAGAAGTTCAATGGCAAGTGGACTGATGGTGCTGAGGAGGCCAAGAGCCTCGCTGCCACACTCCAGGACAAGTACGCCGAGTACTACGTCAAGGTCTTCAACAAGATCGGTGCCAACCAGGAATACGCTGCAAAGGAGCTCAAGCGCCTGCAGGGTCTCATTGGCAAGGGCAACCTAGCGCCCGAGAAGATGGATGACTTGATGAGCAGGAGCAACATCCTGAGGAAGTTCATTGGTGATGATGCAGAGGAGAAGCAGGAGTTGTAGACAGCTCGCACGTGGACTGATGATTGCGGATAACGGCATTTATAACACCAGCACTATTGATACGATATGATGAGGTAGGGATATCAACATGTATGGAGCAGGAGTGACATACGTGATCACGACAATGAGGAGAAGGCGAGATGAGTAGGATAGAACCAAAAGTCAATACCCAAATTGCAATCAATGCGATCTATGTAGACCATTACCAAACGCCATCATTTTCATCGTGCAGCCTACACCGCCTTGTTTAATCAGACTGGTGTGCCTTCATTCACGTGACCTCTACTTTCCAGGTCCTGAACCCTTGTTACCATCTCCAGCCTGAATAGTTGCTTCAAGATTGTCCAGCCGCCGTGACATGTCATCCACTACCCATCATCAGTATCTTGGCTATTCTGCACAGATGTGCCCTTGCTTACTCTTAGCAAGTAGCTCGCTGCTGACTGTGGTAAACTTGGTGTTGAGTTGGTTCAAGAGGTCGTCAACAACAGCTGTGAGCTCTCCAGAACTCTCTTGGTTGGTTGATACAGCTGACTGTTTTCGTGTCAGGGAGAGCGGGGCATTGTCGTAAGTGTAGCACGTACCGCGGTGTCGCTTTGCGCGCGATCTGCCAGCGGTTGAGGCGTTGCCATGTCGGAATGTGTTTAGGAGGAAGATGGAGACGAGCGCACGTGGCTGATGCTTCGTGGACAAGTCGAACGATTTCAAACGCGACTGTGGAATCTAGTTTTGTATCTTGTGGAGGACATGCACATGTACGGTGAACAGGTGAACACTAGGTTGATGGGGTCGCACGGAAGCACGTGGTCTTCGCCGCGGCTTCTTGCCCGTTTCGGAGGCGGTCAAGCTAGCGTGCGCGCTAAAATGTTTCTGCGCCCAGAGTTCGCAGTTTACGAATTATTTTCTGGGAAGCTTTGACGTCTGATCTTCTGCGCCGCCAAAGATTCAAACACCTTTCACAACGACGTTGGAAATCAAGCGAAATGGCGAAAAGCAAGCTCAAGGCCGCGCTCGACAACTACCAGGGCCGGAACATCAAGCTCGAGAAGCAGCGCAAGCACGAGAAGCAGGCGCACAAGCAGAAGGAAAAGCGACAAGCCGAGAAGGCGGAGGAGAATGGTGAGGAGGATACTGAGGAGGGAGGCGTGCCTGTGCCCCTAGATGAGGTAGAGGTCAAGGTCAATGGCAAGACGAAAAAGCCGAAGAAGGACAAGAAGACCGACGCAAAGCCTGCAAAGGCTGCGCCAGCAGTCAAGGAGCCTGAATGGGAGACGGATGAGGAAGACGATGACGACGCGAGTGAAGACGACGATGCGCCCGAGCGACCGGCGATCGACCTTTCTCACCTCGACGACAGCGAGAGTGACATCAGCTCCGACGAAGAAGAGTTGCAGGCTGAGGATGCCGCAGCCGAGGCCGAGGACGCTGAAGACGATGACGAAGAAGATGACGAGGACGAGGATGAGGATGAGGACGACATTGCGCTCTCTGATCTCGACTCTGTCGCCTCAGAGGACAAGGGTGACATTATCCCCCACCAGCGCCTCACCATCAACAACACGGCCGCCCTCACCGCCGCCTTGACTCGCATACAACTGCCTTACTCCAAACTCGCTTTCTCCGAGTACCAGGCCGTTACCACGGATGAGCCTGTCGAGATCGCCGATGTCGAAGACGACCTCAACCGTGAGCTCGCGTTCTACAAGCAATGCCTGTCCGGTGTCAAGGATGCGCGGAAGAAGTTGAAGAAGGAGGGCGTGGCATTCTCTCGACCAGCAGACTACTTTGCGGAGATGGTCAAGAGCGATGAGCACATGGGCAAGATCAAGCAAAAGCTGATTGATGCCGCTGCTGGCAAGAAGGCCGCTGCTGAGGCACGTAAGCAGAGAGACTTGAAGAAGTTTGGCAAGCAGGTCCAGGTCGCGAAGCTGCAGGAGCGCGCCAAGGAGAAGAAGGACACAATTGAGAAGATCCAGACTCTCAAGAGGAGTATGTACCACCTCTATTTGGGAACACTAATAACGGTATGCTAACAAATATGCAGAGCGACAAGGTGCCGATATCACGGCTACGAATGAGGAAGACCTTTTCGACGTCGCCGCCACCGCTGAGGACCCCAAGGACAAACGCGGTCGTGGAGCTGACGGCAAGGCCTTCAACAAGCGCGCAAAGAAGGACTCTAAGTACGGCTTCGGCGGCAAGAAGCGTCACGCGAAGAGCAACACCGCGGAGTCCAGTGCAGATGGAAGCGGCTTCTCAGCTCGCAGGATGAAGGGAAAGCCCAGCGGCGGTGCGAGCAAACGACCCGGCAAGGACAAGAGGGCGAAGAGACATTAGGTGATGTAGTCATATGGAAGGCTAAGTGACGTGTTCAGGTCGCTTTCTGCATGCGTATGGCGCTTTGGCGTTCAGGGACTGAGTATAAAAGCCCAACATGTATTCTATGAGGCGGATTGTCTTTATTTCACTAGGAGATACCAATGCACAACCGTACGATCATCTGAAGTCGCCTGGAACCTGCGCTAACCTAGCACTCCACGATTTCAAACATGAATACCAGACAGCTACACGTCGCCGTCTTTGGATTATGTCACGTGTTATACAACCGCGTGGAGGCATCTAGGCCGTTGGTAACGGTCTATCAGCGACTGATGTTGTAGCCTGACTGCCACCGCCTGTGGCCTTAGCCTCGGAGCGGATGCGCACAACAGAGGCGACAACGTCATCCAGCAAACGCGCCCAGGCATCAACGCCTATATGCACTGATTCCGTATACATGTCCTGAGTCTCTCACCTATATAAAGTCCGCAGCTACTGCACTCGACCACATATCCTCAACATCGACAGCAACACGATTGACGACAACAACAGGCCTCAATTGCTTCTCACAATCCGCAATGTCTAAGGAAGTCTTCTTCGAAGGCGACGCCGAAGTCCTCCCCTTCACAACACCAACCACACCTACCGCTACCTTGCAAAAGCCTTCCGACATACTCGACGTCCCCGCCGCCGCGCCCAGCACAATCTGGTACCTCTCCATCACCAAACCCCACGTCGACTCCCACGACATTGTCGGCCCCACCAAAGCATTCAGACACCTCCTCCCCCGCATCGAAGCCATTGTCAGCAACTCACCAACAGCCATCGACAAGCTTGCACAACTGAAAGAGACCGAAGACACATGGGGCGAAACAGAGCCAAACGAGCATTTCTTCAACAACGGGTTTGAAGTCTTCATTGTCGATGGACAGAGGGGGTCTTACACAATCTTGAAGATGATACGCGAAATCAACAAGGAAGTCTTTGATATTCTTCCCGCGCCAGTGTACACGGTAGTTTCCGTTGGACCCCTCGAGCACGCTGCTATCCCGCTCAAAGCCAAATCATCATCGTCTTCTTCTTCTGCCTCAGCATCAGCATCAACCTTGAAATCCTCTTCAGCACCGCTTTCGTCAAAGTTCTCTCCGGGCAAGCCAAAAGGCTATGTAGCTACGACACAGCTCCATGGCTCCTTCATCGAGCGAGCAGCCGCTAGGGAAACAGCAAAATATATCATGACTGTTCTTCTTCTTGACGAAGAGAACGTCAACGAGATTGGTAGGTGGGAGAAGGGAAGTAAAGGTGGTGGTGTGTTGATGGCTATGAATGCGACGAGTATGTGGGAGGTCAAGGTTGTGTATGCGGATGATCCGATCGGGAGGGCGCAGGAGGAAGCAGATAGAGGGGAGGATGCGTTTGTTTTGTGAGATGGAAACGGTGATATGAAGGTACTTGGTGGAAACTGAGACGTCAGACGAAAAGGTGACGGGGCTATGAAGAGCTCCTGGATGTGAGATCTGAGTTGAGACGGGAAGGTGCTGGGAGTATGTGATCTCCTTCTGGGTTCGATATCTGGGTCCAGGTGAGAAGATGGTTGGTGCTTTGAGAACCTCCTGGTGGTGCATGGAGTCTGAGATGGAAATGCTTTGGTGTACTAGATAGAGACAAAAGTGTCCCCGAGAATTCAGAGTTTTGGCTTCTCATTCGGGCATTCTGCAGGCTTCCCTTTGGTTTCCTGTATCTCGAGAGCCTCCATCTGCATAACGGTGATTTGTTCGGGTGTTAGGAAGCGACCGTCTGGGCCTCGTGGTGGACGCATGCATCCTTGGACCACGCCAGGGATGCATGGCCTGTTCTGCCGTGAGAGAGCCAGGTGCGTGATGAATTTTTGACGAGCAAGTCGCCTTTTCTGAATGCGGTTTTGCTGCTTGACGTTGAGGTTGTTGGTCGGTACGTTCGGTGCTTGCTCTTGCTCCGTGGTAGCTGACATGACGACTGACCGCTTTCGCTATCGGAATGAGATGGCAAGGGAAATTAGATGCTGAACTTCTCGGCGAGGCAATTAATGTTTTTTGAGATGGAGCAAATTTTGTGCATTTGTTTGATAGCAGCAAACTCGGAGTAAAAGACAAGGAGAAAATCAATACAATAGTGCAGCCACATGGCTTGATGGTGATGACGTATGACAGGGTCAGGCGACGCGGGGATGCGTTGCTTGTGACCAAACATCACAACACCATCTTGGTGCACCGCGTTTCTCCTCGGACCAGAACAACAGGTTCGCAGCAACCCTTCCAGCATAGAGAATATATCGTTGGATTAGGCTCATGCGCTAGTGCAGCTACGGTGTCGGTAAGCAGTCTGATTTCACGCCACAATCCAATAGCTTCCGGACATTTCCCTAAAGCCCGACCGCGGAATTTCGACGGGAGTGGAGTGTGAAGGTGTCAAGCCACGTTGCACGGCCACACTTTGGTCCCACAGAAATATCACTGCTCGTCCCATGAAGATTGCTCATTGCCCGGTCGATTCAACACGCGTACGCTTTCGTAGCGCAAACTCCGGCTGCACTCGAATCCCATGCCTCCTGATTCCGTATGCCCTGCAGAGGCTGATTCTAGCCCTTTTGGCACGTCAAGCTAACGTACGATAACGATAACCGTTAGCACTTTCGATCGCCT